TGCATATCCCCGTCTTGTTTGCCATTATCAAAAAGGGGGAAATTGTTGGAACACACTTTTTATTGTGTTAAACTAAAGTCGTGTTCATTTCTGACAGTTTTTGATAATTGTCAAACCACTGTGGATATGAAGAGTTTTCGGTGAATAACTCAAGGCGTGAAGAATGGCACGGAACAAGACCAAAAGACTCAACGACAAGATCAAGAATTGAAGACTTAGTCGAGTCGGTCTTATTGTGATCAAAACCGACAATCAATTCAAGTCTCGGTTCTCAAAGAGTCAAAATAATTTTACAAAATCATAAAACGTTTTTGTGCATCAAAATAAACATTTTTAATAAAGTTTTATTGTATTAAAATCCCTGGTCCTTGCCCAGACGAAAAACCACCTCGGTCGGCGTCCGGCATTCGGGGTTCGGCGTTCGGTTTTTAGTGTCCGAATGAATTCGTGGTTTTCAATATTTTTACCCCTGTTTTTACCTCTGGGCATATTTAAAAGGTTCTCAAATAATTATTTTATAAAAACCACTTTTGTATCTTGGTCAATCGCTCTAACAAGTGAAAAACGGTCAAAACCGTACACACGTGACAAACGACCTCGAAGACTTGTTTTTTATCAAACAAGTCTTGGTTTCACCATTTTATACCATATACAATGTTTTTCAAACTTGGATTTTACTTTTGGGAACACTTCATTTTTGGACCTCGGCTTTTCGGGTTAAGTCTCGCCGGATGGTTTTAGCCAGCTGATAATCGACTGTGAGTTCATGACATTCGAATATTGGCTACTGCAGTTCTGAACCTTAAGTTTCGAACCATCCAATTATCGACTGACACGTTCTGTCACTCGATTGTCTGTGTTTTTCCTTAAACCCAGAAACTTTTGAGATGGCTGATAGTCGACTGACACTAGTTGACAATCAATTATCAGTATTACCGTTGTCCTCCAACGGATAGAATTTTAAATATTTTTGGACAGGGAATCTTTAGATAATCGATTATCAAGCTTTGACAATCGACTATCACTCTGCAACTCTGAAATTTTTGTCCTGATCCTGTTGGAAATTTTGCAACGGGTTTATCCAATTTTGCAATATTCTTTCATTGCATAAGCATTTCTAATTTTCTTAGCTATTTGAGAGCCAATTCTTGAAGAAATTGTCGTATTCTTGAGTGTTTACTAGTTCACTCATATCTACTCTTTGTGAGAGTTCTATTCCTGAGTGTTTAAGTGTTTTTGCACTTGAAGGGAGGTTGTTCCCTTGTTGTAAAATTCGAAGGAAGTCTTTGTTTCTTCGTGAGAAGTCTTAGAGTGCGGTATCTCCGAGCAAAGGCGTTGAGGCTCGTGTGACTCAAGTTCTCAAGTTGTATCGGTTTGTTGAGCACCTTTAAGCTTAACGGAGTTAGTGTAACTCGAGAGAGTCTCTCGGGAGGCTGGATTAGCCACACGTTGTGGTGAACTAGGATAAAATTCGGTGTGCTCCTTCCTTACGCTCTTTACTTTATCGCTCTTGTTTTTAATTTCCTGCGATTTTGTTTTAAACGCTATTCACCCCCCTCTAGCGTTGGGCCTATATTCTAACAGAGGAGATTAAATGCCAAAGCTTCCTAGCAACGCTGGAGGGGCAAGCCTGCGAGTGGTTCCATAAGTTGCCCAAAGGGTCGATCGACAAGTGGAGCGACTTGGCCCACAAGTTTCTGGAGCACTTTGCGTCCAGCCGGAGACAGAAGCTCTTGTTCTCACATTTGCTTAATGTGAAAATTTGGAAGGGGGAGCAACTCTGGGAATTTATTAATAGGTGGGAGAAGGAGGGTAGGGACGTCCCGGGGGCGGACGACCAAGCCCTGATTGCGATACTCCAGGCGGCACTCCCTCAGGGGGATGTGCGCAAGGAGCTTCACCGAAATCCACTCTCTACCTATCAGGAAATGCTGGCTAGGGCAAAGTACCTGGCGTTAGAAGAAGAAGACGACGAGCCGCCCATCCAGAAGGAGAAGAAAAACGGACAGTCAACAGGAGAGAAGGAAAAGGAAAGATTTTGGTAGGGGACCAAACCCTACAGGATACCAGGCGAGCAGACCGCCTGTCCATACAGTCCAGTCCTTACCGGCCCCTCCTCGCATTCGGGAAAGCTATAGCATCCAAGACGCGCCCAAGTTGTCCGAGTACCATTGTATCAGCACCCACAATACGTCAGAGTGCGTTACGCTGAAGAAGGAAATGGATCAGCTGATCGCCAGAGGACTGCCTCCTCGACCGGAGCGGCAAACAGCGGGGAACAGAACATTGAGGCGACCAGCAGCTGCCGCCGCGGCGATCACCACCGGAGAGGGGCAGGAGGACGGAAGGCGACATATGGGGAGAGATTGTGAAGACCTAGATGAGGAAGAAAGGCATAACTGCCAGCACTTGGGATGTCGCTTCATTATGGGTGGAAATACCAGAGGTGACTCAGCGTCCTCACGAAGGAAATGGAAGAATATGGTCCACCTGGCTGAGGAACAGAGGCCACCGTTGCCCAAGCGGAAGAAGAAGGAACCCTTGATCTTCACAGACGAAGATTATCCGCCAGTCCTTATTCCCCATCGGGATGCGCTGGTGGTGAATATAGAGATCAACAATGTGGTCGTCCATCACATGTTGGTCGATACCGGTAGCTCGATCAACATTATGTATAGCAATACCTTTAAAGAACTGGGCTTGTCTCGAGGAGACCTCAAGCCAATCCGCACCCCACTGTCAGGATTCACAAGGGATACCATTGAAGCGGAAAGAACTATTATAGTGAAGGCTGGGGTAGGAGATGGAACCCACCGAATTTGACTCGACATGGAATTTATGGTAGTGCAGCTCGATTGTGCACACCATTTAATCTTAGGGCGTCCGGGTCTAGAGGACTTGGAGTGCGTAATCTCCCTCGTTCACTTGTGTATGAAGTTCACCACCCCTACCAGGGTGGGAATTGCCAGGGGAAACCAGAGTTTCTCCCGATCGTGCTATGTCAGGGCGACTAAGAGCCAGACTCGGGTCGACGAAAATGTCAGCACGATCTGTGCTGCGATACAAAAGGAGGATGGGCAACCTAGGGTGGAGCCGGTAGAGGAAGTAGAGGAAGTCACTTGAGTGTCCTTCATTCATTCAAAGTGTTATGTGCCTGGGGTCTAGGGGATATGCCCGGGGTCGACCCACGAATTACGTGCCATAGGTTGGCGGTAGATCCGGCCCACAAGCCGGTCAAGCAGAAGAGGCGTTTTCTCTCCTCGGAAAGGATAGACTTCGTCACAAAGGTAGTAACCACCCTGCAATCCATCGGGCACATCTGGGAAGTCCGCTATCCGAAGTGGTTGGCAAACATAGTCCTCGCACCCAAGGGGAATACCTGGTGGATGTGCGTCGATTACACCGACCTAAACAAGGCTTGCCCAATGGACTCGTTCCCTCTTCCCAACATTGACCAGTTGGTGGACGAAACGGCAGGGTGTGAGTTAATGAGCTTTATGGATGCTTTTAGCGGGTACCATCAGATCAGGATGGCCATGGTAGACGAAGAGAAGACCTCCTTCATCACCCGTAATGGGGTACACGTTATAAGGTAATGCCCTTCGGCCTAAGAAATGCTTGCACGACCTATGCACCGATGGTCAATAAGTTCTTCGCACCGGTGTTGGGGGGGTGTATGGAGGCGTATGTAGATGACATGATTGTCAAGTCAAGGGAGATGGTGTCCCATGCTTAAGATTTAGAAAGGGTGTTTAGAATCATGCAGAAGTATCAACTCCGCCTCAACCCAAAAAAGTGCACGTTTGGGGTTCAAGGAGGCAAGTTCCTAGGACATATGGTTAGTCGAAGGGGTATTGAGCCCAACCCTGAGAAGGTAAAGGCAATCTTGGAGATGGAACCTCCGCGAAATGTGAAGGAGGTCCAGCAGCTAGCAGGGAGGATCACTGCTCTCAGCCGCTTTTTATCAAAGATAGCTGATCGAGCGGCTCCATTCTTCCAGACTATAAAGAAAAGCAAAGGCTTCATCTGGACCGAGGAGAGTCAGAGGTCCTTTGAAGGGTTGAAGGCGTATCTCTTCTCGCCATTAGTGCTTTCGAAGCCAGAGCCCGGAGAGACCTTGTTCCTATACTTGGGGATTTCTCCTCGGGCTGTGAGCTCAGTACTTGTGAAAGAGGAGAAAGGTACGCAGTGACCTATGTACTATGTGGCCCGGGTACTACGAGGAGCAGAGTTGAGATATACAAACATGGAGAAAGCGATCTTTGCAGTGGTGTGCACGGTGAAGAAGCTCACCCTCGATTTTCAGGCCCATCCGATCCACGTGTTGTCCCAAAACCCGATCGGAACCCTCATTCGGAGTCCTAATGCTCCGTCGCGAGTCAGCAAGTGGGGGGTATTCCTGGGACCATTCCAGATAGAGTTCAAGTCGCGACCGGCGATCAAGGGGCAAGCCTTGGAGGATTTCGTGGTGGAATGCACAACAAGGGAAGTGGAGACCACCAGAGAAGAGCAAGTTGAAAACTTGTGGACTATATACACCGATGGATCGTCCGCGACTGATGCTTCGTGGGGAGGCGTCGTGGCAATATCACCAGAAGGATTCAAGGCGTACTACTGTATAAGATTCCGTTTTAAGGTCTCGAACAACGAGGCTAAGTATGAAGCGCTCCTTTGTGGCTTGAGGCTGGCAGCGTCCTTGAAAGGTGAGCGGATCCAGGTCAGGTGTGATTCAAAATTGATAGTGGGCCATGTCACAGGGGAATCTGAAGCGAAGGACGAGCGGATAAAGAAGTATAGGGACACTGCGTTGGAATTGCTTAAGGTGTTCGGGGTGTACCGGATAGAGCAGGTCCCTCAAGAGGAAAATGCTAAGGCAGACATCCTCTCAAAGCTTGGTCCGGACTCCCCGGACCACATTAAGGCAATGACTCAAGAAGAGGAGTTGTTGGAACCAAGCATTAGTCCCGGACAAGTCCTAGTCATCACACTCAATGAGCCGGACTGGATCGACGAATTGACCATGTACTGTAACACCCCAACCCGCGTAACCCGAATACAAGGACCAGCAGATCGGGTTGTCACTAAATTCGCATTCTGACACAATAATTTTTAAAACAATTTAAAAACATTTAATTCAAAATATTATTTAAATATCCATCGGAGTTAACAAAACGGTGCGGAAGCCTTTAGGTACTCAATCAAAATACAACTTTGGGTTCTTGCCCTTTAAAACATAAATAATTCAAACTTAAGTATTAAATATTAAACTCCTCCAGCTAGAATCCATCCACCTCTCCGCCCTCGCTGCCCTCCAGGATATTTCCTTATTCATCATTCATGTTACCTACGTGTAGTAAATAGGAAAAAGGGCTACACGCTCAGCATTGAAGCTAAGTGAGAACGGTCTAACGTTTCAACTACGCACATAGACGAACCCACTAGCTCATAACTTCATACAATATCATGCACACAAGTATACAGTATAATATCACATAACAGTCATTAAATAAATTCACAAGTAATAACTCATTACCTTATCTGTCTTCATTCATAGCTCATAACATAATTACAAGGCTAAGACCATACTTCCTTATTTACAACCTTATGTTCGGACTTAGAGCCACTACCTACGGCCATGACTCAAGTCTACCTTATGACACAACACAACCTGATGACCAACGAAGGAGTTCTCCGCTGGGTGGGTGGTACCCCTCTCCCCTTCGGAACGACAGTTCTTGGATCCCGTACGTACGTGTTAACCCGCAGCCGCCAGATATCAGATCCGCAGGGCTGATTCTACCTATTGATATTTATGTTTACAATCTTACTAAGGCAATCCTAGAGTTCCCCTAGGTAGCCTAATCATTTACTTACAACATCTCTTCAATTCAGACTTATTCTATCATCAATCTCAATTGCTTATTTACTTTTAAAACACACCAAGAATATATTTAATTATAACAAGGCATATAACATTAATCAGCTAATCAATCATATAACTCAATTAGCAGCCTAGTGTCGGGTGTAAAAACCTTCCACTTACCGTCATGCAAATCACACAAATTTAATGTACGAAAACGTACCTGGACATCCTGGTTCAAGGAATTCCAATAATAACATATAATATAGATAAATCATAATTTATTGTAAACAAATAAACCACGTAATCAATCATACGAAACTATGAACGTGAATTTCAAATCTATCTACATAATCTAGCGTTAGATGTGCAAGTTCTGACCTCGATTAATTGAAGAATTAAACTAATCACAATCGAATTAAGACGGCGAACTCGGAGGCGGCAATCTGTTTCTGGCGAACGACTAAGAAGCGGCGCTGGAGCAGCAGCGGCTGTGTTCGGTTCCTTCTCTTCCGGCGCGACACATACTCCGTATATTTTTCTCCTTTTCTTTTCTTTTTCCAATAGTGGCTCTGTTCCGGTTCGTAGCGTGTGGAACAGAGAAGAAGGAGACTATGATCGCTAGGAAGATAACATCGTATAAATAATACCCTGATGGGCTTGTTTCCCATTCGAACTAGGACTCAAACTACCCGTACATTCCTTTTTGTTTACCATATTATAATTTTATAATATTTTATTATAAAATTCTTTATATTTATTTATTGAACTCTAACTTCTATTTACTCACCACGCTTTACACATATGCCCAAATTTAACAAACTATATACCATTGGTCACCATTTTGCGAGATCTACTCGAAAACCTAATTTTCATTTAAAACATATAATTTTACAAATAATTCATATTTTAGAGTAAATAAATATTATATTTATTTTTATTAAAATAACGACTAACTACTAAGCCAGTTTTCGGGTTGTTACATGTACATCCTTGACGGATCGATACCAACGGATCCGATCGCAGCCAGAGTCGTCAAGCGACGCGCACCTAGCTATACGCTAGAGTGCGGGAGGTTGTATAAGCGATCGTACAACGGTACAGTGTTGAGATGTCTAAGGAGGGACGAAGAGCAGAAGTTGATAGAGGAAATCCATGAGGGGATATGTTCGGCACACCAAGGAGCTTTTATGATGTCAAGGATAATAACACTGCAGGGGTACTTCTGGCCGACAATCACAAGGGATTGTGCAAAGTACGTGCGTAAGTGTAAAGTGTTCCAAGAATTCTAGAGGGTACCGGGGCGACCAGCAACGAACTCCACCCTGACCAGCACGGCAATACCCTTCGCTCGGTGGGGTATTGATTTGGTTGGTATCTTGCCCCGAGGAGCTGGAAATAACATGTATCTGGTGGTCGCGATCGACTAATTCACCAAATAGGTCGAGGCCGCTCTTATGCCGACCATCACAGAAGAGCAAATGAGAAAGTTTGTGTCAAAGCAGATCTTGTGCTGTTTCGGAGTGCCCCAACAAATCATTACTGATAACGGAACCCAATTCGAGGCGAGAGGGTTCAATGAATTCTTGCAGAGCTCAGGCATAAAGCATTGCTACGCTGCGGTCGGGTACCCACAAACCAATGGGTAGGTCGAGAACACCAACCGCACCATCGTAGACGGCCTGAAGAAGAAGATAATGGAGTGAAAAAGTGCGTGGGTAGAAGAACTGCCTTACATTTTGTGGTCTTATAGGACCACCCCAAGGAAGGCCACAGGGGAAACACCATTCGCAATCACATATGGGTTTGAGGCAAGGTCTCCAGCCGAAACCTCATTACTGAGTTATAGGGTGGAGACATTTGATGCACAGGAAAATGAGGAGAACTTGAGGGCGGAGTTACACCTCATAGACGAGCGAAGAGAAAGGGCCTACATCCGGGCCTACATCTGCTTTGACTTACCGCCGACAAGTTAAGTCGTACCATGATCAAAGGGTGCGACCAAGGCAGTTCAAGATGAGTGACTGGGTCCTAAGGAAAATGGAGGTCAGCCGGCCGACCGACGGTGGAAAGTTTGCAAAAAGCTTCGAAGGGCCATACATCATAAAGGAGGTGTTGGCTGACACAACATTCAAGTTGCAAACACCAGCGGGGGGCGACGTCTTGCGGGTGTGGAATAGTGCTAATCTTGTCAAGTTTTACCAATAGTCTGTACTCTTGCAATGATTTGCCTTAGAGTTAAATAAAACCAGCACTTTGGCACATCCTGATCTCATCCTTTCTCGAATTCTATTATTGTAAAAAAAGGAGCGACCAGAAGAGATCGCAACCAAGAACCATATATATGGTGGTTCGCGCTAAGATACCTATTAAGGGGCAAAGTGTTGAACCCATTCGGTGACTAAAATTACTTAATCAACATGACCAAGCCTATGAGGTGTTTTGTGGTCGAAATGCACGTAACCTAGCAGTCGCTTAACCGACCGGTGGACTAGCGCACTCAAGAAATGGGCGACGCCAAGGCGAAAAAGCTTCAGAAATGGCTAAGTCCATAGCATAAGACCCAATGGTCGCTTGAGTGACCGAGGGAAACTTATCAGGAACACGACGACGCCGACGGGGTGAAAAAGCCCCAAGAATGGCTAAGTTAGGAGAAGCAGGAGGTTTTCTAAACCAGAGGTTGAGGAGACCTGAATGCTCGAAGTAAGGTGTAAAAGGCAACTTGAAAAGGAGATGGGACCTGTCATAAACAGTATGGGCAGGTAACATTGAAGTTCATTCGTGAAAATATCTATTACATATCAAGAATCACCTTTTACATTTGCATATCTACTACAATTGAGAACATCTTTCGTACATCTTACATACATCCAAGAAAAAACAACTCAAAATCCACGCGGCCGAATCCCGAAAAGAATGAAAAACACAAGGAAAAAGGCAAGTGAAGGGTAGTTATGCAGCTAAGTGGGCAAGCAGAATCCCAACCACGATTTGCTGCAGGCGACCGCCTCTCTTCTCCAACATGGAACAGGGACGGTCACCCTCCAGTTTCATCCAAAACCCCCCATCGTTCTCCTGGGTAGGAGGAAGGGAGGGGGGCCTCTCTTTTTTGTGAGCCCCAATCGGCATTTCCTAGATGGGGATGCGGACTCTGGAATAACTGGAGCTACTCCTGGTCGATTAGGAGTCTTCTAGGAAAGAGAGCGACCAGCTCGACGCGGCGGAGGAGAATCTAGTTCTTCCCCCACAACAACCTCGTCGTTGGGTCGCTCTGGCGAATTGGTGCGACTCTCGTTAGCCCACTGCTCCAGACTTGTGTAATATGCAACCTCATGCTCCAAGAGAGGCAGCTGCTCATCTTGCACGCTCTTCCAGGCCGCATAATGCCACTTGTGGGTTGGACACGGAGCATCCCAATCCACTTCTCCAGAGGGTAAGCGATTGGCTAAAAGTTCTTTGGACGCTGCGCTAAAATCATCATAAGGATTTGGTGGAATGGGCGGTGGCCTGACTGAGGGCCACCGCCGGCGGGGCAAATGGCGGAAGAACTCATAGGGGTCTAGCCCTCCCCCCCAATCATTGGAATTAACAGACTTGGGGGAGGAGGCAGACTTCGGGGAAGAAGGGGAAGGTCCATCGGAAAGATTTAAGGAAGTAGGAGCTTCTTCAGACATGGTGAAAAACAGATAAGTTGTGGTTGGAAGGAGAGATATGGGATGGAGAAAAATGAAGCATGGGGGGCTTATAAAGAGCCCAGGGTGAAGGAACCGAAGGGACGGTCAAGTCCCAGGGCAGCTGAATCGATAAAGGGACATTGAGCAGCGTGATGGCTCAATCAATTGATTTGAGAAATGCAGTGGCACAGTTGGGCGGCAGGTCAACGGGCCGGTTGGGCTCGTAAAGCAAGTGGGCCTCAAATAGAGGTTGGGCCAGTGTTGGAAATTTATTCACATCGATGGAATGGGTCAACTTAAAGAAAAGTACAACAGCAGAGCATAAAATGATCAAAGGCACACGATAGTTGGAAGGAAATGATAAACATTGGAATATTGTACCAAAATACCAAAACATTCAAAAGTTATAAGTTTTTACAAATCCAAAGGGAAAGGCCGTAGGGGAAAAGGGGGAAGTGAAGCAAATCACACGCCCGAGCTAGTGCCCTCGCCCACCATGGTCGCTTCTAGGCTTGCTCCAGGCCCCTGGTCGCCTTGCCCGTCCTGCTCGCACCGCGCCACCGATTCATCTTCCTCGTTAGAAGCACTCGAACTCTCCTCGTCCAAGTAAGTACTGAGGTCGAACTCGGCGAGGGTACGGCAGGGAGGAGGAAAGCCAAGGTTGGGGAGAGAGATTCCCTTGGGGAGCCGAGCGAGTTTGTCGCGAAAAACTAGTTGGGCCCAGAAGAGTCCGCAGTTGAAGGACTTCTTTGCCTCTCCAACCATCCACATGGCTCCGGGTCTTGTCTGGAGCCACTCCACCACCAGTTAGCCATCCGCTCCATAGCGACCGCGGTGAACTCGGGGGAAGATTTGAAGGACTCAACCGCCTCCTCCAAGCGACGGGCTTGGTCTTTCTTCTCGGCCTCCAGTTGCTGGATTAGATTGACCTTCTCTCCCTCCAGCTCGGTAACTCGGGCGGAGATGGATCCCACCTCAGAAGACAGTGAAGTCTTCTCCCCCTCCAGTGTGGCAGAGCGACCCTTTTCCTCCTCCAACTCCCTTGCAAGGCGAGCGACCTCATCCAGCAGCTCCCTTTGCCTGTCTTCTGCGGCTTTCTTCGCCTCATCCATGGCCACATGGCGATCTTGCCTCCGGCCAACGACCTCGATCATCCCCAGCGTGGCCTAAACCAAAGCATAAGGAATCAAGAATGTAGGGAAAAGTAAAGGAGGAGGAATGTAAAGCAAAAGGGGTGGAGAAGGGAATTAAGGCGAATACCTGACTAAGCTTCAGAAGAACCATGTTGTTGAGATCATCATCGGAACCGGCCGAGATGCAGGCTCGGTCATGAGCGGGGAGGGTGACTAAGGTCTCCAGCTGTACGTCCCCTAGACTTGGGGACGGGGGAGGAATGCTAAACCTTGTCGAGCGACCCTCGGTCGCCACCTCGTACGTCACTACACGTGGGGAGGGAGGTCGCTCCGAGAGGGCCTTCTGAGAAGGCCCTGCCAGGTCGCCCCCAAGCAACACGAACTGCGGCGGGGAGCTAATCGCCGCCAGTCCCATTTCCGGGGCCGCGTCGTCCTGATCATCCACCTCGATCAAGACCTGGTCCCGCTGGGGGCTATCTTTACAGCGGGAGGAAGAGCGTTTGCTCCTGCCTTGTCGGGCTGCATCTCTCTTCCTCTTCTTCCCTACAATGAAGTGGCCGATCAAGAGATCACCTTCCATCTCCTCTTCTAACCCCTCTTGCTCGACTAAAAACGAATGGAGTAGTTAGTACCGAAAGAAACAAAATTTAAATCCCCAATGAAGAAGGGAAAATATTTACCAAAGGGGCCACAGTCAAAACTCCTCCTGGGGAGGTCCCTTAGCATGTCAGGCTAATGGCGGTGCTCGTCCTGGACAAACTCAAACCCCAGCGCTGCTAGAGTTTCCGGGTGACGCATAGGAGAGTGGCGTTGGATTGAGGACACAGAACGCGGCGGAAGGATGGGTGCCAAAAGACAAAAAGGGGCTTCCAGTCCTTAGTCGACCCTTTCTTGTCACTACTAAAGAGTTTGCTAGATCGCTGGGAAAGGCTGGTGTAGGACGCCCAATCCCCATGGCCTTTGGCCAGTTTGATGGTAAAAAGGAAATGATCTAGGGTGGGCTTCACCCTAGCTTTCTTGCATTTGATCAAATAACCGGCGATGTACTGGTGAGAATTGGGGACAATTTGGCAAGGAAGAAGGTCCACCTCGTTGAGGAACTCGATCAACAACGGATGCAGAGAAAATCGCAGCCCCTTCTTCAAAGAGGCCAGAGGAACGATGAAAAACCCTGAAGGAGCATCAAGGGCGGTCTGGGTTCTAGTGGGCCGCTGGACTTCAATGGAAGGGCCAACCATGTCAATGGCATCGGCCCCAGTGGCACAACGCCATGATGTTCTCCTCCAGTTCGACCCTCTTGCCTTTTAGTGCAGGGTCGAGGAGGGGAATTCCTTCCTCAACCGGCGCCATTTTTGGTCGGACGCTGCCGCTGGAGACGACTGAGGAAAATTGGTCTGAACTTGGTCATGGCCAGAGGCCGAGTGATCGGCTTGAAAAGAGTTGCACGACGGGGAGGGCGAGTGAGAAACAGAGATAATCATGATGGCGAGAGGGAGAACTGACCTCAAGATAGATGGAAAAATGGGTCGGCTAACGCCAGAAGAGCAAGTGAAGAGGCAAGTGCAGCAGGTAAGGAAGAATGGCATCCAGCGGCGATTTTACCAAAAGGGTGGAAGGCAGAGCAGCAGGCCATGATTACTTTTAATGGAGATCGTGCCAACCCTCACGCAGAAACCAAGGAACGACTTGGATCTGTTGAGGAGGCGCCCACGTGGACTTCGTAATTTCCCCATCCCTCAACGCAGCCCGTCTGAGGAATGAGGAGTTGGGGGGCTTCTGATGGGCCGATACCCAATGGGTAGCCCAAACTCCATGGCCGGAAGACGCCGGGTCACATCGGTTGAGAAGATGCTACATCTGGGTCGGCCCAAGACGCTGGGCCCGAACCAACCTAATTTAAGAGACAGCTAGAAGAGTCAATCGACGGGAGGAGACTCAGCTGAAGGCGGGGACGTAGCCGAAGAAAGCGGATCGCGCCATCGGCGGATTAGACTCCTTGATTACGAATTACCTTAACTATCCAAGAAACCATGTATAAATAGAGGAGACTCTAATTGGGGGTCCTCAAGCTGAATCAAGCTAATAACACATATAATTCTCGAGTTCTTGCTCTTATTAATTTTGGTGATCCATTCTTCTGAATCAGATCATCCGGTGGATTTATTGTCCATCAAACAGTTTTATGAACAAGAAACAGGGATGTAAATCAAGTGTAAAACAACTGAGGGAAGTTTTTTTCCCATTGATCTTCCCAAATTACCCTTTAGTGTAAAGCAAGATATTATAGCAAGTGGAGTACACATTTAATTAATTACAAGAGTGCTCATCATACAAAAAATACTACCCATTCCTTTCTAGGAGGGATTGTACAAATCTTGAATTCACCATTAGCATACATTAGGCCTTAAAATAGTGTTTAAAAATTGATTTTTTTTTGGGGGGGGGGGGGGAAACTTGATATTCCCTCTAAAACAGCCCT